AATACGATAGTTAATCACGATAATATCGGCAGACCTTTTCGGCTAGAGCCGTGTCCAACTCTGAGGCAGCTGCCAATGAGTCTGATGCAGTGGCAACTGCTTTCTCAACCGTGTGCTTATCAGACGATTTTTTCTTCCAAGGCCAACTCCTTTTGTCCATCTTAACCTGTTGATGTACACAAATTATGAGAAAGTGAGACCAACAGCAGAAATAATAGCACTTAGGCAACAAATGGCATCTGACAATCAATGGAAATCATATGTGCAACATTACCAACATTGTAACCTAAAATATACATCAACTTATACCTGCAGAAAAACTATATGTGATTGGTGACAGACCAATTTATATAAACATATGAATAGATTTTTTTGTGTGAAGTTTGAAGATGGTAAATGAATATTAAGACTAATATCTTCATGTTATTTTGTAACTGCAAAAATTGTAATAATGAGAAAAAATCAATCAATGTAAAATATAGAAATTTAATTTCTTATTAAAAAAAAATGAACATTTTTTTAGGGTGTGCAACTATGCAAGATAATTGAAGTTATAATCAGGATAAGGAAAGGATAGGCCACCAGACACCATCAAAATATAGCATGAATATGACAACTTCATAAACTTCCATAATGAGAGTAAGAAAATAAACAGAAAACCTTGGCCTTAGCATTGCAAGAAATCGGTCTGAGCTGATATATCAGCAAAAATACAAAACAATAAAAACTATCATTTTTTGGGGAAATGTTACAGCCCCGTTGCGGAACCATTCGGTCGGGAATTGTATCCGTTAGATCATCATATAACTGGTCGTGGATAGTTGATCTAATGGTTACAAAATTCCTTTGATGATCCACAAAAACAAATTATTTAGGAACACCGTGAGGAGTCACTTTACCGATTTAACTAGCAACAGAACTCAAAAACACCAACATCATTCAATGGCAAATTCACAATGATATTTCAAAGGATTTTTCTGCAACAGCTGAAACAATCTCCTTCACGGGATTTGAGCAGGAGAAGATCCGCTCAGAACACACAAAACCCAGAAGCAAATCAACCAAAACACACACACACACACACACACAGAGAGTTGATAAAAATGGTAAATTAACAGAACACACAGAGGGAGCTTTCAAAAACACAATAAACGAAAAAAACTCCATAAATTACTCGGAACAGACAAACACCAGTTGTTCAGTGACGCCATTCGATTTTGACCACCGAATTAAAAAAAGGGGGGAAAAAAACTCAAAATCAAATGCTGATAGAATCAATCAATCAGCAGACCATAAATATACAGAAAAAAAAACAAA